GCCAAGTGGCCCCCTTTGGGCCCCGGTGCCGAAGGGACAGTGGTGGGACCCCCCCAGCAAAAACGGGCCCAGCCCGGTTGAGAAAGAGCCCAACCCCGGGCCCCCCTCCGGGCGGTGCTAGAAGGAAAGCCCCCAAATCCTGCAGGATGATCCCGAGGGTTGTCCAGCACCTCTTCCAGAGCACCCACGACCTGGTGGGCAAAGGCTGGCAGTACTATTTCTCCGCCAGTTTCCTGGAAATCTACAACGAGTCCCTGCGGGATCTGCTGCTTGGCAGAGGGCAGCACGCGGCCGACCTGGACATCCAGCGGGTCAGCCCCAACAGCGACGAGCTGCACGTCCCCAACCTCACCTGGGTGCCCATGGAGACCAAGGAGGAGGTGCTGGAGCTGCTGCAGAGGGCAGGTTCACAGCGCTCGGCAGCCCAGATGGGGCTCAAAAACCGCTCATCCCGCAGCCACTCCGTGTTCCAGCGGTGCATCCGGGGGGAGCAGCGGGCACGGGACCTGTGCTGCGCCTCCTCCCTGACCCTGGTGGACTTGGCGGGCTCGTAGTGGCTGGAAAAGTCGGGATCAGTCGGAAATCGGCTCCTGGAACCCCAATCCATCAATTCCAGCCTCAGCGCCCTGGGGTTTGTCATCACTGCCCTGTGCAACAAGGAGCAGTAAGTTCCCTACAGGAACAGCAAACTCACCTTCCTGCTCCAGAACTGCCTCAGTGGCAACGCCAAGGTATCAACAACCATTATTGTAAGAAAAGTCCCCTTTCAAAGTTTTTACTTCTGTTTCAAGGCGCAAGGGGTTTAAAGTACTTCAGATTCAATGCTTGCTAGATTTTAAAATGAAATGTTGGCATGCAACATTTCACGACAAAATTGCTGTATTTTGACAAACTGAAAAACTGTCACACAATTAAATATTTGGCAGTCCTAGTAGCAAGCAGTCCTGCTGTATATGCGTGTGCATGGCAGAAAACAGCTTCTGCAACACTGCCATTCAAAATACGCAGGACACATCATTTTTCCCCACCAGCCTTCCAAACAGGAGCACCAGCTATCTCCTACAACTGCTGAAGTTATAGGTCAATCTTGCTTCCAGCCTTTAAGCATTTAAAAAGGAGCAAGCTGCCCCTTAACACAGCACAGACACAGCAGCCAACCTCAGAGCACTGCAAAGAAGTTTAAGAAGACCCCACTGCTAATATATTTTGGCATGGGAACGAGAGTCTGCATTCCAAACCACGTGGAGGGGAGCAATTGCTTGATGCAGTTTCATATGGTAAAGCCCAAATATCCACCACTGATGTGAAACATCAGAAGGATAATCAACGAGATTTCAAACAAGTCTAAACAGAGCTACTGCAAGGAGCTATTTAGATATTCATCAACTGCTTGCAAAGAAGGGACTATCCCTGCTTTTTGACTACCCTATAAAAAACAAATTCAAGGACAAAGATTTCTCTGTTCCCAACTACAAAAACCTCAGGTATCACCATGAACTTCATACTGATTAAAGGTTTTAGGATATTTGTCTCATTTTACCTAGTTAATTATAGTATGTTTATTCCTCTATTTGAAAGTTCAAAAAACAATACACAAAAAAGTGATTTCTGAAGTGTGGGTGAAGTTCTGGGTGACATTTTGTAGAATTCAAGTTATTTTCCATCTATCTTGAGAAAGCTGGAAACTTATTTTCAGCTTCTAAGATAAAAGCTTTCATGCTTGTTCGCAAAACATATTTAACTTTAAGATCTATATGACATATTCAGTTTAGAGTTTGCATTTTTTTTGGTGCACTAAGCTTACTTGCTGCAAGAACCTAAAAACTAAAAATATTTGCAGAAAATAGACCTAGAAGTGTATTGCTGAGCTAAATAAAAAACCCCAACATTTTAGTGTCTTGATAACATCTCTTCTTACAAGCCTAATAACTCTATATTTATTCTTAACTAATATGGTAATTATTCTGCAAGATAATTCAAATTCTCTTATTTCACCATCTTCAGGACAGACTTTACTAACTAGCGCTTTTTACTGACTTATTATAATGTATTTTCTTTATTTATTCAATTAGTAGATTCTTTATTTGTGGCATTTTCTTTATCTAACATATCAACTGTTGCTTGGGAAAAAGAATCCCAAACTAAAAAAATCCACAGAAAATGTTCACCTTATCACTGCTTGTGGTGGAGAACCAAGACTAATATGAAAAGGGATCAAAGCCTCAAACCTGCCCTACAACACATTGTGAGCAGAAGGAAGTGCTATTATGAGGAAACAACAGTTCTCATGAACTACCCTTAACCTTGGCAGCCACAGACTATCACAGGTTCCTCAGTAGAGACCACAGACACCAACAAACAGACCCTGAGCAACTCAGAAACAGCACAATAGTTAATAATTATTTACCCGTACCATTTTTGAGGTTATAGTATCCAGCAACCTAATTCACAGACACAGAAAATCAAGAATTTTCCCTTCTTTCACCATCCCCACACAAGGGTTACACAGTCCTGAGGTTCAAATTCTAGCGCAAAACCAACTGTGAGTCAAATGCAATTATTTCCCCCTCACTGATGTTTGCCTCTCAGTTTTATGACGTGTCCAAGAATTCTAACAGGTCATTAAAAGCTGTATGGTAAGATATCCTCCATTTCAGATCCTCCTGCTTTTGAGAAGAGAGGCTATATTGGAACATCTCCCATTTTTTTTTAAATACTCAGAGGTAATTAAAAAATAATTAAGGTAAAGTGGATTAAATCTGTATGTACATACATCAACACAGAGGCAGAGAGAACACGAGATAGCTCTGATTTCATTATGTGACATGTAAATGCCAATGCACAGCTGCCTGGTTTTTTGGACATAGAGCAGATTCTATGAATTCTATTAGAATGCATTTGAATGCACCAAGTGATTTTCCTCCCTAGTCTACTCAATGGGGACAAAGAGAGTATTATCCACAGGTAACAAGAGGGACTAAATAAAAGCTGGGCAGCAAGGATGTGGTTCATTAACGGAAGAACTGAGAATTCATTAAGGTGCACTGTGAGGCACAGCAGCCTTGTAAGTATTCTCTGATGTGCCAATAATGTCATAACAAATACCCAAGTAAACTAGTTAAGTAGTTTTCCCTCACATTCACATTGGTTTCAGTGTCATTCAGGCTGTGGTCATTTACAATTTCAAAAACACCCCTGATCCCTTCTACAAATCACACAACAAGCCTGATACCCAAACACTCTTCTGGGGGTGTCTCAACATTTTCCAACAAACTCAGAATAGCATTCTAGGAAGAACACTGGAAACCAAAGCATGGTTCACCTTAATAGTACAACATAGTGATTTACTTGAGTAGTGTGACAGGCAGCCATGCTTCTAGGAAGTTTCCATGCCATTACATATCATTTATTTTTCAGGCAATTTTTAAAATCCTTAAGAAGATGCTACATAACTGGTGCGCCCCACATTTAAACTCATATCGTCAAAGTAATCCACCAAATCATTTCCTCCACCAGCAGCATGAAGACAGAGTGCATTGTGACACCTCATACATATTTAATAACAGCCTGATAGGCTGTCATTAACATCAAACAGCAATCTAAGTTTGCTACATTAAACATGATCCCTGTGTTAAGAGGACAATCACAAAGTGCCTCCAAGATCGATCCTGTAAGAAATACCCACCGACTTGGACAAGGTATAATGAGGCCAACTGCACTGAAAGAGCCACACACTGGATCTAAAATTAAATAATAATTAAAAAAAAAAGGCAAGGGAAAAAGAAAAAGCTTCAATGGGTCATAAGACCAGACATGCCATAAGGCAATCTGTCACAGAGTACTCATATTAATAACTGTTGTGTCAAAACTGAACATTCAAAAGAAAAGACAAACCTTCCTTTATGTTTTATGAAATGTAAGCCCACAGAATTAATAATTTACGAGATGAAGAAAAATATCACGTTTGGCTATAAATATTAACAGATGCTGTCAACCTGCTTAGAACTAAATTTTGACTGTCCTACCTTACAATTATCAATTTAGAAAGGAATGCTCTTCAAAAGCTCCAAAAAAAAAATCAGTATGAAAGTCATTAATGAAGAAATTAACATTCTCTATTCATGTAGGTCCTGAGCAAGACAGCCTAACAATGTTCTGTGCCTGGCTGCTGCTGAGCCCACACTCATTGAGTGGCATTGTTTGTGCCCAGAGCAGTGGTGTGCTCTGCTGACAGCAGTAACGTGGTGTGCACACAAGAAAGTACCCCAAAAGGACACGCTAAACCCGAGATCCAATGGAAAAAGGGAAAGGAGGGAAGGGAAGTAGTTGTCAGATGACAAGCAAAGATTAAAAAAGGCAGTTAAAAGTTAACATACATTTGCAAATACAGAAGTTTATACAATGGGTCTGGGATAAATTTTTTCTCATTAGCTAAAAATAGACACTTAAGAACCACAAAAAAAAGGCAATTAACCCTTAAAGCACAACCACCAATCAGTAAGCTCACTGCATGTGATGTCAAATACAAAATATATTTTCAGAATGGTTAGCAGTTCTAGTTCAAGATGTAGAAGACACTTCTGCCATACGACACCAGTTATTCTCTGCTTTCATACTATTGAAGAGAAATGAATATTGAAACACAAAACAATTGTGCCAAAAAAAAAATCAGGAATGCCATTAAAACATATTGTTCTAAATGGTGGTGACAGTGCTTTTCTTTATAGGCTTTTTTCTCCTTCTCCTCAGTACTAATATAACTTCAGCCTACTTATGTTCCCAACTGCACTTACATTCTGGGCAACAGTGTTAAAAATACTTACATAAGCATCAATATTGGGCATATATTAAAAAAAACCAAGTCAGTCTAAACACTCCACTTTTCTCTACAGTTCCTGACGTTTTTTCACTGCATTTCACCCACTGATGAGCATGCAAAATGAAAAGCCCGAGTTGAAAATTACAAGCTCTTATTTTTTTAAAAAACAGTTAATTCCTACCTTTATCATTCTCGAGAGATCTCCAGCATCTGCTAATTCCAACACTATGTTCAGCTCATTTTCTTCAATGAATGAGGCATAATATTTAATTACATTTGGATGATTCAGTTGCTAAGAAAGTAAAAGAATAATTCACATTTTAGCGTAGAGTACACTGTATTTATGAAGACTGACACAAAACATTCTTATTTAGGCAAACAAAACAACCCCTAAAATCTATTTTGTTATGATAGAAATTACAAAAAGTCTATGTTTACAAGAAGTATTTACAAATACTTTTCAAGAACATGATTGCATTTCAGGATCAACATGACAACTGGCATCACAATTTTAGAGGAATTTTGCTTCCATGTGTATATCCAATAGTGTGCTAAACTGTTATCTGAAACAGCAAAGTCAGTTTTTAAAATCAGGATTTTACTGTATGTGGGACACAGTTGTTCACAATATTGTAGTTTTGGCAGAAATTTCTACTTCAAGTGTTGTTCATTTTTCTACTGGATTTACTTCTGAATGTTAATTTTTAAAATAATAAAGATGACTAAACTGTTCAAGTGAGGCTTACAGAAACAGTACACAAACAGTGGACACTAAGTATGTCTATGAACAACTTAATATACTGTGATGATGGTTGCACATTTTTTAAAGAAATCTTTTACCTTGAGAAGATCTATTTCTTTGATGCAGTCAGCACGTGCTTTGGCATCCATTAAATCAAATATCTAGGCACGAGATAGAGAAGATTTTTATTAAGTGATAAAAATAAAGCAAACTATTGTTATTTCATAGCATTCATAAAGCAACTTGAATTATGCATTTCATGGCAAGATGTAATATTACACTGAAATATTCCTAATGACTTGATGCATTGATTTAGTGCTGTGGCCATTCTTTTAGCCCCCTCACAGGAAACAAGTCCATTTTAAGTACAAGCTTTTCAATTACTTAATTACCATCTCCACATATCTGCTCAAACACAGAGGAATAATTCAGCACACTTCCTTATACATGGCTCTAATCCAAGTCTCAGGATCCTAACCCATTCCTGTCACTTCATTGTCACAAACTGATTCTTACTAGCACTGAGCATTCCACTTTTTCCCCTTGCTTTTGCTAGGGGAACCTTGCTAGGAATCCTTCCTGTCTTATTTGCCATTACATTCTGAATTTAACAAAAAAAAGTCAAACCAGCCAAACAAAAAAAATCATCAACTCCCTTTGGTCTGCCTACTACATTTAGAACTATTCAGAAGAATAGTAAGAGACACTCTATGAGGTTTATTATCGCAATATTTATGAGATTAAATTTTTCAGTTACAACTTGCCAATGCACATCATTTGTTTCTAGATAGTCTCCAGGAAGAGACATTTTTTGTGCTATGAAGATCAGTGGTATCTGGTTCCATAAGCTCAAAATCTCCAAGAGCTCAACAGCTGACAACTTTCATTTGATATCTTGCCACCAGCTCCAGCACTGAATGTCTGCAGGGAGGTCCTCTCAAACTGACTGCCTAGCTGTTCACGTAAATCACACCTTCATTCACTCTTCCTGAAGAAATTCAAACAAATCAAGAAGTTTGCCTATGATCTGCTAAACCTCATCATCAGTTCCTATGCCACTCTGCACGCTGAGTTTGTCATCCCTTTAGTCAACAGAAAGAAGTCTGGAAACTGCATGCATAGAGCACAATCCTCACAGAGCACACACCTGCACCTGACTAAACACCACTGCCTTTCAGATATCCACTCTGTCTTCAGAACTTGCATAAGAAAGAGGAGGCTGGAATGGATATAAGACTCACTTTTTGACACAAAAACAACTCAAGGAAAGAAATGCCAGACCTGCAGATAGTAAGAGAAAAAAGGGGAGGAGCAAAGAAAGCAAGGGAATAAACCATCTCACAACTACTGTATATTAAAGCCAGGATGATGGGAAATAAACAGACTGAGTTAAAAGCAGTTATTCAAGGAGGAGACTGTGGGGGACTTCAGAAGAACACAGCAGGGTAAGTCACAAGAATGGAATGCTAACACTAAAGCTATTTCAGCTATTTCAGACACAGAAGAACAGAGTTAGTACTATACGTGAAATTACAGTACTAAAAGATAAATAACACTGATGGAAAACATAAAAAATAGAGTTTATGAGATAAAGCTGGAAATTTAGTGGAGGAGATTAAACAGCCTGTATCTATTATAGATCTCAACTTTGAATGAAAAAGCATTGCTCTTTAATAATTCTGACAATAGACTGAAGTCTTCATGTTTGGTAGAGAAGTGATTTTTCTAGGAAACACCTAGGAAAAAATCTAAATATGAGAAGCAGCACATTAACTGAGGAAGCACTGAGAAGGCATGAAATCGTAATTGTCTTCCCTTGTAATCTAAGAGACCAGCAAATGGAAAATTTTATACACTCTCTCCCAAATACAGTCAATTAAAGTGTGTATCAGGGAGCAGGGGAAAAAAGGGAGCAGGTACAGATGCACTTCTTGAGTCTTCACATTTTTGCCAAGTTCTAGATAACAGTGAGATAAGAGCATTCCTTAGAAATGATACTGACATTCAACTCCAAACATATTGGAACCTAATCAAAACTGGAGATGGAATTTCAGACTGAAAATTGCATACAAACACATATACTTTGAATATCTGGAACAATTACCAAAGCACCATTTTAAGATTCAAACCAGAAGAGTTTCATTCTGTGACAAAACAGGGAAGTTTGCACCTGCTCCAATATACCAAGAGGTACAGTAGCTTGCTTATTCCAGGAATATATTTTCCCTACACACCTAAGCTAACAGGTTTTGCAAGTAAACTTTTTTATAAGCTACGCCTCTGATAGGGACATAAATCAGTACCTGCCGTAGAGCAATAACAAAACAACAAAAATAAAGCCCTAGACTCAGGATTGTGAAAGATCTAGAATCAAGGCATAGGAAAGAATGACCATTTTGTTTGTGTATTCTGCATGGTATTCCCAGTACTTCTAATTTGTTATTAAACAGCCCTGGAGTAGACTATACCAAGCAGCTGCTCTCACTAAAGGACTGACTTAAGTTTTATAAACATGACTCTCTATACTTTTGCTACACTTCATACAGCAGCATGGCAAATTTGTCACAGCTACCCTAAATATTTCAAACATTAACTAAAGTAAAGTAACACAGAAAAAATGGGTCGGATTTGATCCTTACCAACACAAATATAGACAATCTGAAGATTTACTGCTTAGCATTCTTGCAGTTCTTCACTGGAATTTGATCCAGTTCTAATCTCAAGAGACTATAAATAGCATTTCCCAGAAATCAGAATTTCAGTTTCACAGACATCAACCTCCTCCAACAGTAAGACTGGTACAAAAACCCCCACAACCCAAAAGAACCAAAAAAAATAAAAAATTACTCAATCCATGGCCACTGAAGAACCTCTGAATCATACCAGATGCAAAAAGCTTCCAGAGATTTTCATTCTGAATAGATTATCTTTCTATTTTGCCAAACTGCTGCAGTTGTTCAGATCAGAGGACCCAAGTGTAATATGCCATGTCAGCTCACACAAGGAGGTCACTGTCAACACAACGAAAAAACCTCCATGCTTCCTCACCAGAAGGTGACTCAACACTGAAGAACGTCTTAGTCTGAAAAATGAAAGACTTCAAGAAGATCCTTTCAAGCGCAAGTCACAACTACCCAGGGCAGCAGGCAGTGCTCTGAAGGCTCGTTCAGCAAGAGAAGCTGTCCTTGCCTGCAGTTTACTGCAGACTGACCATTGACCTAACGCTATAAAGGGATGTCAGTGCTCCCCTCACAACTGTAACAGTTCACACTTCTGCAAGAGAACTAATTCCACCTTCAGCTCCTATTACTCAGCAAGCCAAGCTGAAACCTCAGCTTATGCTCCCCTCCCTCCAGCACGAGCATTGCACACAGATATCTCACATGCACAGGGCTTGCAGCCTTGCAGAGACAGCACCACCATCACTTCCAGCAAGCCACGGGCCTCATTCCACCCCAGACACGCACTGCCTAAGGACCTCCAGCCTCCTGTCTGGCCTTCTCTTAGACTGCACTCACATGTTGAGCTTGGCTTTAGCAGCACATGCCCTGCAGCTGAGTGAACTGTAACAGAGTCATTGCAGTCAAATGACTTGTGTCTAACCTGGGTTTAGATTTCAGCTCAGCTCTGTGGCCTTAAGGAAATTATAGCAGATACAACAGAAGTCTAACAAAGCCAGAGCGATTTTTGGATAAGCTTGAGTGATAAGCTTTTGGATCAACACAAAGCATTAGCAACTGACTGCTTGAAAGCAGCCAGGAAAATCCCAGGTACAGACACTACCAGTGCCCTCCTTCCAGCAAAGCTCAAATTGCTGATGATGCTCCATACACCGATTATTGGAAACTAGCAGAAATTAGATCACAAGCATTAGCATCATTGTAATTGGTTAAAAATAAAAACTGCTGCACTTTGATTAGACTGCTAGGGCATTCATTAGACTAACAATAAACTCTAATTCTTGACTCCACCTATGATGCCAGGATCACAGGGTAATTCAGGCTAGAGGTATGTTTCTCTAGTCAGCACAAACTCCACTCAGCACGAACTGCATAGAGTAATACTTTCTATTTAAGATTTTAATTATTTTTCCTCAATTTTTACTTCTAAGATACATAGACTATAATGATTCATATTTTAAAAAGGAATTATGCTTGCCTAATGCAAAAATCTAGTAAGAAGCAAAAAATACAGCAAATATACTTATGATGGGAGGGTTTTCATGAAGAGCATAATCCAAAAAATCTTGCTGTGGTAAGCACTACACCTTAGCAATTACTGTGAAATTCTTTAAAACAATTAGGTAAATACAGCTGAAGAGGTAAAGGAGCATTGTAAAAGCCCCTAGCAATTAGCCCCTAAGTGAAATGAAAAGTATCTTTTCAGCTCACTGTTTTTCATCTCATCCTGCAACCGACTGCATACAAAGGGAGAGTGAAAGGACCAATACACATTGATAGTTATTACAAAATACTCCCTTCTGTGTGCTATGCAACTAAGGGATCTCTGGTAACTTGGCATTCCATCACTTCTCCGGTACCTTCATATGAGTGTAGATTGTAATTTTTTTTCCTTTCAGCATTCCAGAAACATCAGTTCTAAGTACTGTCAAGAGATACAGGTATTTTTAGAATACTGGCTAAGCTATCGTAAGCTACAGAGAAGGAACTGTTCCTATGCAGATGTGTAAACTAAACAAAGAAGCTGCTCCACATGAATCAACTTGCTCAGTAAAGTTCTTACATATGTGCTCACACATGCAGCTACAGCTCCTAGAAAGCTATGGGCACAGAAAGAAGGTTTAGAAACGTTTAACCACCTGATGGGCAACAATAGGCCTTTGCTTTTAAATGGAGACTGTATCTGACCCATTACCAGCTATCAACAGAACTCATCATCTGAAGTAACGTGACAAGTTGGGAATCTACCTGATTCGCTCAGAAGTCCATCACTTTGCTGGGTTCTCCCTATTCAGTATTGAAAAGGATAAACATCTTTCTAACCTTATCATTTAAGTCACTACATAACCTATTTCTGTTCCATTTGAAACTCTGCGTAAAATAAAAACACCAAAAAGCATTTCTAAAGCAAAACGCAAGCATGACTGCTGTAACATAAACCTTCAGAGAAGTAGGCAAAATAAAGACCTGAATGCACATAAATATTAAGAGATACAAGCATTAGAGTATTTTGCCACCACAGCCCTGCTGTGCTGAGACAGTAGTGCTTCATAAAGTGTGAAATTACAAGTGCTTTTCTAAGATTAATTAACTGTAATTCAGGCCTGAAGTAGCAATCCACTGACAATGCACAATGAATAATGAATGCAAGTGCTAGATAAAAGGATTCATTGTCTGAATGTCTAACATGGGGCCTCCAATTTTGGAATGAATGGGAAAGAAAGGTGGAACAATGTAAGGCAGAAGTCTAATGAATTGAGAATTCTGTTGCAATACGCAGTTTTACATAAAATATTACATTTTGAGTAGTAAAGGCTTCCTTAAAAAATAACTCAAGAAATGAACTTGTACAGCCTTACAGTCACTGACTTAGATATGCACTTTTTGTTGTTTAAGGATGTTTTGTGAGCATTTATTCCAGTATCTGGTAATTCCTTACTTTCCCCTTGGAAGTGACTACTGGAATGCTCATTGCTCTGAACTCTGCACCATACCCCTGGGTGTTTTGCTGCACAGTTTAGGTGGAGTGGCATTAACAGAGAATACTGCTGCTTCTTCAGGCATCATCCTCAGGATAGTCTGGACCTGAGACTCAACACATGTTGAGAAACTTACCTAGAAGCTCTTCAGTTTATACTGCTATGGTCACAGTTTATTAGTGGTTGATGTTTTCTGATGTAGACATTAATGGAAGTGGAGTAGTGAAGATCTGCTTTTTACTTGTTTTTATTTATAATTCAACAGCACCTCAGAAACACAGTTTCCATTTCCATGGCAGAAAAAGAGAGAACCTAATTACTGTATATACCACTTTCCTAATTACACATAGCTAAACAACACACTAGAAGATGAATCATCAATGGTAGAACAAGAAGAAAAGACTCAACATACCATTTTGTGTATTCTGCTTGTTAAATTACTATTAAAAAAGCCTGTAAGTTTAGCAGTTCTCACTGTGCTACATACCCTACTGCAAACCAAATCAAGAATACTACTTCCTGTCATCTGGACTCTGAATTTGTAGCAGCAACTACAAAATCAGGAAAAGTGGTTTCTGTCACCATCTGCTTGTCCTTTCTTCCACAGCATCTTACTGCCACTTGCTTCTGCTCACATTTCATTCCACAAACATACATTTTGAACACATTAATATAACATTTATCAATATTGTACATGTTTTAACCAAATAAAATTTTATTAGTGGAAAATAAACATTCTTGTTGGAAAGCTTCGTCAGAACCCAAAACTGGCAATCCTTTTGGAACAAATAAGGGCCAGAGATCCTGCAGCTGTGAAAGAGAGGGTACCTGAAGGATTCTAAGCCACATCAGTCCCTGATGGTAGAAGCACACATGGGGAAACACTGACCAACGAGATAAAGAGAACACCTAACCCAGCCAGGAAAACAAAATGGGGAGGGGGTTGAACAGACACAACTTGCAGCGCTGGAGAGAAAGGCATGTAGTAAAGAAGATGTGAGATGAGAATGGGCAGATAATGGCAAAGCAGAAGAAAGCTCAAATCTCGGTTACATTATTTAACACAATGTAGACCATTTAGTGATACAGTCTCAATGTTGATTCACAGGTCTAAGAGAGAATAAAGCCCCTCTCTCACAACAGAAAGAAGTATTCCTCCTGTTTTGTCCATGCTGAGCTTTCAGTAAACAGGCATCAGAACAAAAGGCACTATTTTAATTTGAATAAAACATGACTAAAATTAAAAGGAGAAAGCACCATCATAGAGCTCCTCTGAAAAGCAACCACTTCTCACCAGAAGACATCAGTGAAAAGGAATTTTATAGTGAAATTAAGTATTGTGACTATATTTACCAAAAATATATCTAGGGAATCTTAAGAAGACGTAACAGAAGCACAGTAACAATTAAGATGGTCTTCTGTCCAAAAGGAACACCTTTAAATGACAACTATGCAACCTGCAACAGCTGTGCCAACACTCAGTGCTACCATAAGCCTTTTGAATTCCAGGTAATACATCATTATACACTTCAGAATTTTTTACCCTCACAAGTTAATCAAGTCTCACTTTCCTTTCAGATAATAGTCTCCTACATACATCCAGCCTCCACAGCAAAAGTGACTTTACAGAGGACAGAACACAGCCACTCCTGATGTGGACTAGATAGTAACATGCAATAGAAAACTAACCACGTATGCTGGACACTTGAAGACAATTGGAACTCTATCAGGACAAAGAGTTATGGCTTTTCCAGATGCCTTTAACACTACTTCCTACCACCAGTCAAATACATTCTTACTAAAGGATTAACTAAAAATTAAACAAGAAAGCTTTTCTGCTAGAGAAATCATCACCTATAAACAGACAACATGATGTTGTCTTCATGCACTGAAAAAAAAAATCTTTTGTCAAACTTTGAAATCTGATGTGAGAATACAGCTATACATACTGACTTCTGAAATACTGTTAGGAGTACACATGCTAAAATGCCTCTGTATTCTTAATGCAAGCACCGTTATAAAAATTTCATGGTTGGACTTTATGACTTTCAAGTACCCAGGCATTCCACATCCACCCTAATTGACATGCATTTCAAGTCACATTTGACCTTTTTGGTTTCTCACACACTGCAAATGAAGGCAGAATTAGCCTAATGTTTTAAGACTGTTGATCAAGGTTCTTAGAATATATTTCAGCTTTTGAAGTAGTATATATCTGGCAGTTCTCCCAGAAGGGGGAAACCAAGTCTCCTTTTTTATGACTGCCAGGACTTGCCCAGCCTCCCGGTGCACAGGAAATCAGAGAAAAGAAACAGCAAGTCAAAACATGACAGAGAAACTTACAGTGCATGCATTAGCCCAGCAAAAATAAAATTATTAAAATGCAGAAACACTAGAAAAAAAATCTACAAAATCTTACACATATTGTTTTGCAGTCTATAAAGGCAAAAATACTCCTTCAGAACTGATGACACTAGTCCAAGTATTATGCTAAACATATCTCAAGATCAGAACTGAGAGTTTTAGCTTTGATTTCAAAACTAAACACACTGTCAGAGAACTTTCAAAATAAATTCAGTGGAAAATTTTCTCAAGTAATGGTCTTACAACAAACATCTCTGAGCAGCTCCAAACAAAAAGAGAATGAAAATGATACTGATATAGGCATAGCTCAAGCTGTCTTCTGCCTGTGTGACAATGGAAGTGTTCCAGTTTGAAAAACACTTTTGATTTAAACATTTTAAAAATTGCTAACTGCTAAGACAAAATATCTGAACAAATAATCAGTCCATTTCTTAGGCCAAAATTTACCAGGACTGGGCTTAACATTACTTGGCCACAGTAACACAAGCAGCTTGCTGCTCTTGTCCCAACTTCTGTGACAGAACTGCTGTTTCACCACTGGTTAAACTGTGAATCTTGGAAGTATTCAGAGTTCTCATGAAAATATTTTGGCCAATGCAATTCTCTTAGATCCACAGCGCACTCTCATTTAATTACCCTATAGGGTCCCCACACAGATTTATTATTCATGAAGATGATAATATGAACTGAGTTATATCCTGAAATTTGAAGGAAACACTGAGCTATGGATTCAAGCACAATTTTGCTTTATATTTGTCTTGGGTAGTTTTCAGTCTTTTGAAACAGTAATTCCTTTTCACTATTACAAGATTGATTACACATACACCACATTTGATTTATGCCCTTTTGAAGCATAGTTACTTAATTGAAAAGTTACAGATTCTTATTTAATAAAAAATGCATGGATTTGTATAATATTTTTTCACATTAGACACCACTAAATATTTATATTACTTATAGATTCCAAGCTTTGGTTAGGACTGTTCTTATACAGCTCATTTTCATGTGTTATCTTGTCCCAGCAATTCTGGAGTTTACTTTTAAAACACTGGTTTGTGGAATACTGTACAAAGTCATGACATGAATTTCCAAAGTTCTTGATCTACTACCATCTCTAAGTATTTCAAAATTCATTAAAATCACATCTAAGTAACACATGCCCTTCAAATTTAACTGTATCAAATCCTCTCAATACTTATACAAAAATCCTCCTTACCTGAACCTTCTTCAGAGCCACTGGAACCCCATCCAAGAGGCAGGTTGCTCTGTAAACTTCACTGAACTGTCCACGGCCAATCTTCTTCTCTATTCGGAAATTGGCAAGTGTATTATAGCCCATGTCGGGTCGCAAGGCTTTCTAGAATCAAAAGATATCGGAAAAAAATTGACATTGAAGTCAGTGAGATTAATCCTACC